GTGTCCCTGGGGGGGCCAGCCGGACGCTGCGGCGGTCAGCGGAGATGAGCAGGCGGCGGTGGGCAGTGTTAGGGTCCAGGGTCAGGTCGGCTGTGGAGCACAAGACAGGAGGGGCGCCGAGAGAGAGGGTTGCTGGGTCAGGGGCACAGGACCCAGCGTTCCCAGCGGGGGGCACCTAGAGGCCCAGGCAGCTGCAAGGTGGCTGTGGGACTCAGGAGGGTAGGTCTGGGCAGGACCCAGCCTGCGCACTGATGCCCTTTCTGTAGGACTGGACTTGGGAGGAGAGAGGCTGGCCTGACAGGAGGAATGAGGCCTGACACCTCCATCTGCAGTATCTGGGGTGGGGCCGGGAGCTGGGCCAGCAGGATGGGGAAGGTGGATCCAGAGACAGAGTGATACCAGATACCGGAACCCCAGTGTCAGAGGGGAGGGGCGGGAGGAATCCTAGGTATCTGGAGAAACCAGCCCACTCACCCACAGGAATAGGTGGAGTGGACAGGCCTCTTACAGGGAACGTGGGGCAGAGTTGGGCAGTTTGGTGATAGCCAAAGGGACCAGAGAAATAGTTATTGGCCTTGAGTGTATGGGGGGCCTTGAGAAAAGATTTCTGGATTCGGGGTACAAGAAGCAATCTGGGGTGGGCAGGGTGGTGGGTGACCAGGAGGGTGCAGGCAGGGACTCCCAGTGGCTGCAGAGGCGCCTAGCATCCTGGACAGATGTGCAGGAGAGGAGTGAGCGGAAACGGGTTTCTGAAAGGCCACTGACCTTCAGGGGTCTGTGGTGTGAGTGTTTGAAAAGGTAAGAGGGAAGAATGGCTGAAACAGGAGGACTTGAGGGTAGGCATTGTTATGGGTTGAATCTGTTTCCTCCCCCAATACCTCAGAATGTGACCTTATTTGGGAATAGAGTCTTTACAGCGGTAATCAAGTTAAATGAGGTCAGTAGGGTGGAGCCTAGTCCAATATGAGTGGTGTCCTTATAAAAAGGGGAAGTTAGGGCCTAGAGACAAATGGGTGCAGAGGGAACACGATGTGAAGACATAGGGAGAACGGTCAGGACCGACTCAGCCCTCAGCAGGCCCCGCGGCTAGCGGCTGGCCCCCCACAGCCAGGACTGTGAGAGTAAGCTGCTGATGCCGAGGCCCCTGCGTGAGGCTGTGTCACAGTGTCCCTAGGACACAGACACAGTCCAAAGGGCTTGGTGATCTTTGAGGGACAGAGGAGCAGACCTGGAACAGCCTCCGCTCCCGCCCTTACCCGCCAGCCTGTGCAGCATGTTCCTGACAACCGGGAAGTCCTCGGGGAGCTCGTCCTCGGAGTGAGATGACTGGGGTGTGGGGGCATCAAGTCTGGACAAATGAGGGAGAAAGGTCAGGAAACCAGTAGCCACCCTTTGCCCTCCGTTGCCCCCTCTCCTACCACATGGCATCTCTGGTGCAGGGAGGGGTAGGGCACCCAGAAACCCTGTCTGAGTGGGTACAGAGGCGGGGCCCAGTGATGGGTGATGGGTGGGCAGGTGGGGGTGGAAAGGAAGGAACAGTCAAAGTGGGACTCACCTTCTCCATGTCTCCCTCATGTCCTGGGGGCAGAGGAAAACGTGGATGTGAGCTCTGAGGTTTAAACTGTGGGGAGCCCACCCCGCCTCCCCCTCAGGTGAGCGGGTCAGAGGTGTGAGGCCCCATCTGTCAGCACATCTCCCCTTTACCCCTGTGCTCCCGATTCCCGGGCTCCTCTCGCAACCCCCTTCATCGCACTCCATTCTCCTACCACCACCAGACACTGTCCTGCCCCATCCCCCAGGCCTCAGTGCCCAGCTGCATCCACGCCCTTTGCTTCCCCGGGAGTCCTTGCCTTTCCTTGCTGCCCACAGCCCGGTCCTCTGCCTCGGAGCCTGTCCTTCCCGCCCTCCCTGAGGGTGTAACCCTTTACATCAATCACACAGACCAAACATACTCAGAGCCCTTGGGTAAAGGGTTCGCATTTTAAAGCCTTATAATAAAGCTGCTTCACTTCTTGCCATAAAAGCCCAGTGGCGTTTATTGGGCCCTTTGCTTTGTGGTCTCTGCATTCTGGCCAGGGAGGCAGCCGGACTTGTGCCCCAGAAAGCTCAACAGGACCCAGGGGAGCCGCGCAGAGGCTGATACCGCCCCCCCGCACGCCGGCGCTCCTCCGCCCCTCCCAGTCCCCGGAGCAGCACTGGAGCGGCGAATGCGGTGCAGAGGGAGAGGAAAGGCTTTGCCTCGTTGTGCCAATTACGCCTAAACCGGGAAGTTCTACTCCACGTAGACTTCAAAGAGGGGGAGCAAGGCCCGAGACGGCTTAGCTGCTGGGGAGAAGCGGGTCGGGAATCCCCAAAACCGGGGCCTCGCAAGGGGCTGATTGCCGACCCAGGAGGGGCGCGACCGCGGGTGGGTGACCAGGCTGGGAAGTAGAGGCCGAGGCCCCACGGCAGTTCTTCCAGATCCCGCCGCCCTGCCCGGGGCCTGGGAGGAGCCGCGGCAGCAGCAAC